ATAAATATATACAGGTTCTCTGTATATGTGTCACTATCTTGGTAAAAAAGAAAGTACTCTGAGACAAGACAAGTTTTTAATGAATGCATGGTCTAGATACAGAAACGCCATCCGTAACTGTGCAACACATCAGCTCCAAAGATATTCCCATACAGGATTTTCATCCGCCCGCTGTCTGGGTCTTCCCTCCCAAAGCTCTTTCTGCTGTTTTTTTTTTTTTTTTTACTCCTTCTTCCTCTTGTCTTTGACTCACATATTCCTGGGTTGTTGATTCACAGCTGCTTGGGGGAAGTCTTCAGCAAGTAAATATTCATTTTCTCCCAGCTGCTATTCTCTCTGCCTTGATACTGACTGCAGAGGGCTTGGAGGCACCTTTGTGGCAAGAATCATTGGGCCACACTGGCAGTATTTAAATGCTCACTATCTCCCTCCTCTCATCTCTCTCTAATTACTGGGGTGGCTTTTGATGTTCAAAAGAGCTCTTGAGTGGAGACAAAATATTCATAGATCTACATTTTAACTAATGTGTTACATCATATTACAGTATTTTCTCATTTTACAAATGGTTAAACAAAAAACAAATATTTTCACTTTAGTAAATTATAAAATTAAAGAGGAAATCTGGGGCCTAAATTGTGTTTGATTTAAACATGTATGCCAGGAAATTTTGAATATGAAACTTATGAATATGAAAGATAAGCTCCAAGCTTCTCTCAATTGTACCTCAGGTTCATCAGAGGTACAGTATTTACTGGTGAGACTACTTTAATTTCTGTTACTTTGCTGGATTCTTTACTTTCCACTCTATCCAATCCTATTCTGGCTGAAAAGGGATACCAGATGGGCTTTGAATATGAAAATGTATCATATAACTAACTGATTTATGTATGATACAAGGACATACTGTAGCAGAAACAGTTATTCACACAACATTCACAACTCTTGCCATAATTATGTGACATGATTAATTTTTGTGTTTACTCTTATGATGCAACGTCTAAATTGTTGAATGAGCTGTGTCTGTACGGTGCAGCAGTTCCATTTGCTAATTGTAAAAACTCCCTCTGGAAGTGTGATATCACAGCATCAACAAACCATTAGTGAAGCAAGAGGCCCATTTCATAACTTCTAGGATTTTCCCACCTTCATATTTAACCTTCAAACAATTAAAAATCTGTGGTTAGTGTTGCCTTCAGTATCAGGTCTCTGCATGGATGCTCACCATAGCTTATAGTACAGGAAACAGTTACATCACATACTGTATGATTAAATAAAACCTTTTTGTGGCCCACAGTCTCTACCTGCAAGTGCACTGAGCTGCAGCAGCCTTCACTTTGAAACAGCAATACACTGTATAATATATTGTTGTATAAGCAGTGCAGGTCTATTTTTACATTTAAACTGTATTTTCCATTTGTGAAGCCTTAAATCCTGTGCAACGAGGTTGTGTCTAATCCCAGATCTTTTCAAAATCACAATGCGTACAGCTGTGACAGCTGCAATCTGGCAATTTTGTGGAAAACCAAAAGTTAACACTAATTATTTGAATCTTTCTACTGCAGATAATTCATACAGAGGAAATCATTAATTTTACATTTGATAAGTAATTTTTACTTAATTTCAAAGTATTAGCAAACTGTCCTTTCCACTCCCTTGTCCCTTGTGGCAGAGGTGCTACTAGATACAAGCTCCCCATGTAAAACATACCAGGCTGCATTAAAAGACAAGGGAATCCACAATAATAATAAAAAAAAAACTAAACTAAAACTAAAAACTGAGTCTTTAATTCCTTTGGAGACTTGATAATGTCTTCCCCAAGACATATTCTTCCAGTCTGAATCAACTTTCTATAATAGGAAGAAACAATTCTCCCATTAATGTGAAAAAGGTCCAAACTAATGTTAGAGCCATTCAGAAGAAAGCCAGACCTTGGTTGAGATTCTTGTTTGCAAAATGATAGAAAGGTCATGTTAGTTGCCATGACAACCACAGCTAATTGTCTTACATGAGACTGGATGGACAAAGCTGAGGAAACAAACAGGAAGGACAACAAAGGAGTTTGGCATTCCTTAGTGCACCCAGAAAATATTTGTAGGAGATTTTGTTCAGCTTATGTTACTGACATTTTTGTTGCATAGTGATTTATCACATTATCACATGTGAGGCTATAGTACGTGCGACCAAAAACACTCATCTAAGCATTATAAACAACTAATAACAGTATTCTTTATTTAAGTTTCGAGAGGCAATTGTTTTAACTTCTCCCACACAGGACAGAAGATGGAGCTGCTCTTTTCATATCATGAAAAAACTCGACTGTAGCTAATGAAGAACAGCTTGAGCAGAGCCTTCAATCTGTGATGCTGACAACCCAGCCAAAGACCCCAATAGTTGCCAGCTCTGCTGTTGTGTCCTGCCGGTGAAATAAGTCGATAAATCTGTCAGCATTACTAAGAAAAGCAGAGTGTCTGTTCTGCTAAATCAGGCCATGTAGCCCCAGCTTTGAATCAGAGAACAAAATGTGAAAAAGTGCTTTGACAAACACACACACATACTAGTGCATAATTGCACATACAGGATGTACAGATGCAGTTAAGGGCAAGCAGACGAAAGCCACAGAAGCAGAAGCCTGCACACCCACCTTCACTCTGCGGTTCTTAAGCAAACAGCCTGAGGCATCAGTGAATGAGCATGTCAGTAGTGTGAGCTGACATTCTGTCACACAAAGAGCATATATGGCTCCCCAGCCTCCTCCTGTCCCTTTACCTAATATACAAACACAACCTCACGTGTCCTCGTTTGTTTTAATGTTTTAGAGATTTTTAATTCAGGGAAAGTCAATTTTGGCTTTAAAAAGCAGGAAAACAATCAAAGATATGCAACAGTAGGTTACATATGGAAGAGGAGGAGTTGATCCTCAGTAGCATACCCTGCCCAGGATAGACAGGGATATCTATGATTGGGTTACTTTAGAGGATGAGGAGGCAGGCAGGCTGGAAGGCAACGTGCCAGGGTTCTCCCCACAGCCAGAGACACTATAATTAAGGAGCACAGTGGGGAGAGGGGGTGAGAACAACAGCTTTGCATTGTCACATAATGATTTTCTTATCATCTCTAGTACAGGAAAGACTGCACATCTCTTGCCTGTTGGGTATGTGTGTTAGTTTAAAGCTCCATCGTGAGCAGCCGTCTAGTCAGACCGAAGTCTTGGTGCTAGTTACACTGCCTGACATGAGAATATTCAAGACTCCCTGCCACAAATGTCTATTTTCAATTCAATTTTATTTGTATAGCGCCAAATCACAATAAAAGTTGTCTCAGGACACCTTACAAAGTAAGGTCTCAACCTTACTATTATTATTACCAATTATTATTATTATCATTATTATAATAGAGGAAAAACCCAACAAATCTCCCTTGAGCAAGCACTTGGTGACAGCGGGGAGGAAAAACTCCCTTTAACGGAAGAAACCTCCCACAGACTCCGGCTCTTGGTGGGCGGCCTTCTGCCTCGACTGGTTGGGGTGAGTGGATAGAGGAGAGACAAAAGAAAAGAAAAGCAACAAAACACAACAAACAATCAAACACTGGACAGGTTGATGTGGCTGGTGGCTGCTCATCAGAGATGTAGAGCTCCAGAGCCAGAAAGGTGCAGGGAGAGAGAGATGTCACTCTACAAGAGAGAATAGACACAGTTAGTGACATGTAATGCTGGCATTCAGATGCATGAAGAGAGAGATAAGGCACTATGAGATAGACATGATGGAGCCTTGTCATTAAGGGCTTTGTATGTTAGGAGAAGGATTTTAAATTCTATTCTGGATTTTACAGGGAGCCAGTGGAGAGAAGCTAATATGGGAGAGATATGATCTCTCTTGCTAGTTCCTGTCAGTACTCTGGCTGCAGCATTTTGGATTAACTGGAGGCTTTTTAGCCTGCGAGAGTTGTGGGAGGGATCTGACTCATTTTTTCTCTAATAGTTGTGTTTTTATTTGTAAAAAAGCTCATGAAGTCATTACTACTGAGATCTAAGGGAATATTAAGCTCAGCAGCTCTTTGTCAGCCTGGCTACAGTGCTGAAAAGAAACCTGGGGTTGTTCTTATTTTCCTCTATCAGTGATGAATAATATGTGGTTCTGGCACCACTAAGGGCTTTTAAAAAATATATTAAACTATCTTTCCAGGCTATGAAAAACTCTTCTGACTTAGTGGAGCGCCACCTCCTTCCAGTTTTTGTGATGCCTGCTATAGGGAGCAGAGTTGTGAGCTGTACCATGGGGCCTCCTCTGTTTCACTGCCTTCTTATTCAGAGGGGCAACGGTATCAAGTGTCGTATGCAGGGAGGCTGCAGTACTATCAACAAGATAATCGACTTGTATGAGAGTCAAGTTAAGGTGGCCTCCCTCCATTGTGTTGGCCCATGGCACTAAAGTAAATGATGGAATTATTTCTTAAATTTGGTAACAGCCTTGTGAGATAGACATCTACTGTAAGGGAATTTCCCCCCACATAGTGTATAATCCATTAATGAAAATTCAAAAGTTATTAGAAAATGGTCTGTTAGGTAATTTCTTAGTCAGTTAGATATTGATTAGATACTTGTTGTATAGGAATGTTTAAGTGTAGCCAGGATGTCTAGCTCAGGCTGTTAAATGCTCAGTTCATTGTCATGATCTATGGTTATTTTGTCTGTATTAAGCACTAAACCAGACATAAAGTCTGAGAATTTAGCGGGTGAGTGGCTGAGTGGGGAAAATCAATTTGAAACGAGAACAGGCTGGGTATGCACCGTGGACATTTGTTTCGAGCGACTCCTGCTAACTGTCACCCAGCCACCTGGTTGATATTCCATCAGACAGAAGAGGGTTTGGGGGGGAAACTATTAAGCATTCAGTTTCGATGCCATATGTCATAAAAAGGTCAAGGGTGTGATTAAAAAGTGAGTGGGTTTATTTAGATTTTGAGAAAAGCCAATTGAGTCTAATGAATTGAATGCACTGTTGAGGCTGTCACTGTCAGCATCTACATGAATATTAAAGTCACCCTCTATGGTTATTTTGTCTGTATTAAGCACTAAACCAGACATAAAGTCTGAGAATTTAGCGGGTGAGTGGCTGAGTGGGGAAAATCAATTTGAAACGAGAACAGGCTGGTTATGCACCGTGGACATTTGTTTCGAGCGACTCCTGCTAACTGTCACCCAGCCACCTGGCTGATATTCCAGCTGCTCGGGAAGCGCTGGAGGGCGGCTAGTTTGGGCTGAGGCCCCACACCGGCGACATGGGCCTGGCTGCTAGCATCTGACATTTGTTACAAGTAACAGTACCACTAAAGGAGGCACAGGAATAACTAAACATGCAACATTCTGAACAAGAGAAAGAAGGAGAGGAAGAGGGGGAAGCCTGGAGTCAGTTGGATATGATTCAGATTCAGTAGTGGCTAGAGAGAGACAGAAACAGACTATATGTGTCCTGCTTTGCTGCATGTAAAGACAACACAGTGGACTTATTTGGATGTGTGGTGGCTACTGTGGGACACAAATTTAATCAGTACAGACATGCAAATGACCTCAACTAAAAAAGAACAGCAGATGAACCTCAAATTATTTTGTTCTTACTAAGCTTTCTTAACCTTTTAATAGAATCTGTGTCTGTGTAGGCATGTTAACTACAACCACTCATCTTCAACAGTATCTGCAGAGAAGTCACAGAAACCCAGAGACAATCTGTTAAACGTACTGTGACACGATGATATTCTTCCTCTGTATTGTACACGCACATGGTATAAACTGCTGCTGATAAAACTGCCATGAGCCCCATAGAAACACATGACGCATCATCTATAGCAGATGCTCTGCTCCTCTCACTGACACCGGATGATGAGGTTTGGGAGGTGCTGCAGGACTGTGGGTTTTTAATGATGATACAGCTGCATACCAAGCAAATGTCCTCACACTGTCTTCTTTGAGGAGAACACCCCCTCTAGTGGACTGGACAGGTAAAAGGCAGGACAGAAAAAATATCGACTATCAAGACCAAAGAGCTTGGTCTCAACAGGTAAATTCAGAGCACTCCTGAAACTCCTTTTGTGTAGCATTTCTTTTATTTGACACTTCTTTTAACACAGTATGCTGACCGATGAGAGCGGTATTTGTACACCCTGTGTTTTAACATTGCAAAAGGACAAGGCTGCCAGTATTTTACATTTTATTGTCAACAAACCATAACCATGAATGTGGACATTTACCTCTTCATACTTCCCAGTGTCTCCACGCTGTCTCTGTCTCAGCCCCAAACCCATTCATTCAGTCTATTCATTTCCCCAATATGTTTGTCTTCACCCTAAAGACAGATGGAGCTTGAAATGATAACAGTAACAATGGCAACAGTGTATTGATGCAACATGTATTCCAGCTGATCAGTAGAAAACTGCTGAGTTATGGACAATTATCACATATGGTCACAGTCCATACCAGTCATACCAGTCAGCCTTACGCTGGCCACTTGTTTTTAGCAAGAGCCTTCCCTCTGTTCTGCTGGCCTTAGCCCCCTGGATTAGTTTGTCTGTTCTGGCTGTATTCCTGTTGCTGACTGTGAACATGATCAAGTGAAGATTGTCTCCCTGTTTTGATGGGCTACATAACGTACAGACTGTGTTTCAAGTATTTTTTGCATAGTCAGTGTCCTGAAAAATCTTTGGGAATGCTGCTAACCTCCATGTCTTGCATCTAAAAATCCCATTAAATTCAAGTGATGAAGAGCCCTGCTTGAGGACTGAAATAACTTGAGGACTTGAAATAAAGAACTGTGTTGCAATACACAGTATTAAATACATTTGAAGGCTGTTTTCACCTATCAGTCATCCTCTGTCACTCCTTTGAGATGAAGCTCCTCTTGAACCCTGGACAAGTAATGTGGATCTGGATATCCAAAGCTGGAATGGAGGGACACAAGCAAGAAGTAAATGTAGATGTTATCTTTAACTAGAAAAAACATTTTCTTTCTTGCAACATTCCCTACAATTTCCTCCTCCACTTACAATTGAAAGTGATTCTTCTACAACAACAGTAACAATTTGCTTACCACTGTGGACCACCTGTCATGCTGGTCTTGTGATGAATATCGTTCCAGGTGATGACATTGTTGAGGCCTGTGGTGACAGATCGTCCAATAGTGAAGATGAGTCTCCTGTCGAAGGCTTTCCTCAGCAGCCGCAGGACTTTCTCTCCCTCCTCACAGGCTGGCAGGAAGGCGGTACGTGAGGTACCGCTGTACCTCACCCCAGGGTTCGGGTGCTCAGGCTGTAATAAAGTAATCAACAGTACATATGTAACATCGACTAACCATCTGCAGATTAATCAAAAATGAAAGTAGAAGATGGAGAGTCGTCTGGCTTCAGCCTGTCTTGCAGCAAAATGTCTGGTCACTGACCTCTTTGTTAGTAAATAGAAATTACGATTGTATTCAAAAGTTTGGGCAACTCTGGGCAAATTGTATATTTTGTTAATTTTTGAAGTGAAAACAAGCAGCTATACCCATGGCCTCAAACAGATATTAAATGTCATTCTTCAAATGTTAACACACTTTGTAACTCCCCCTCTGATAGATCTCACAGCTTGCAAACACTTTTTGTAGCCAACAATCTATGATTCTTCTACCCACAGACTTTAAACAATGTTCAAGTCGAGGCACAGTGAGGGCCTTTCCAAAAGCCTGTGGTTCTGGAAGTAATTCATGGTGGATTTTGATGCAAGCTTTCAATATTTGCCCTGTTGTTGAAGCCATCCTGGTTATACTTTCACTTTCTTCACTGACTATAGCATTTAAATCCAAATTTGCTGACAGAAAACGTGATAATTTCTTTTTAAAGGAAAGAAGAACATACATCACCAAAATAATTTTTCGAAGAATACTGATTCACAGAAAGCAGCTAGGCCTAATCATATAATCAAGCATACCTGTCCTCCTCCATCAGTACAGTTTCTATGGCAATAGAGGGACGCACCCCTGAAATCACTTGGATACTTATGCCAGCATTGAGGCTCTAAAGATACATATATTGCATTTGCTTTACAACAGCGGACAAGAAGAAATAAACTATATGCTAAGTGGTTGAGTGACAGCTAATTGATTTGGTGGCCATAAACCTAATCCAGATGCGTGAATGTGTCCACGCAGGGCTGTGATCAAACAACACTGCACTCTGGTGGACAAATACAAGATTCCAAGCATCTGAAGCAGGCCTACAATGAGCCAAACTGATCTCTGTTGATATGTATACTCATGTTGCTTCTGTTAGAACTCACCCCTTGTATCCCTTCAGGGAAACTATACGTTATGACAATAGACTGACAATGTTCAAACCCAGGCAGGCGCTGCCAGCTGCGCCTCTCCGTCATCGTGCCCACCGGCTGCGTACCCGTGTACACTCCGTGGTAGGCGTTGCATATCGGGCAGGCGGGTTTAAACTTGAAAACCGAGTCGATACACCCAGAGCAAAAAGAGTGAAGACACTTAAGCGTTTTTTTGTCCAGAATTGTGTCCAGGCATATGGCGCAATCGTCCATCCTTTTAGTGGCCACACAAGAGTGTTTATTTTGTGTGTCTTCCATCATTTCCACGTAGCTGTGTTCCGGTTTGTTGCTTCTCCGTTTAGAGATGCAAAGGAATTGGTACGTGTCCGGGGTGTGACGTAATATAAGGAAACTACCTAATCGTTTCTGCTGGGTGATTCACAGCCATGTGCGAAGGAATGGTGAAAACACTGTCCTGTGACTGGTGACGTTGGAAGCTGTGACGAGAAAACCCATCCTGGACATGCGGTGGATTCAGAAAGTTTTCACACCCTTTAATTCTTTCAGTTTTGATTGTATAAAATATATCCATGGTAAAGACTACTTGTCATTGATGGTAAAGGTGCATTCTATGAACCAAGTGTAAATACATGGATTTTACCGTTTTGTACTAAGTTTGACTTCTTTACAATCTGAGGGATTTGATCAGATGCAAAGGTCCCCAGCTGGATTTGAGCTCAATAGGATTAACTAGCTTGTATCTTAGTATGTGGGGCCATGATGCTCATTCTGAAGTTATTTACAATTATGCACCTGATAAACTGAAAAATGGAGCAAAAAAATTGTCATAACTATACATTAAAAACATACATTACAATATAACCCACAATGTTCTCTTGTAAAGTAGCTGTTATACAAATTATTAGGAAAATGAGGTATTTTCAAGCCGTTGTCCTCTAGATGGCACAAACTGCATTAGAGTTCAGAATTTTGTTGCAATAATCTTTCAGATAAGGGGATAATAGTACAGATCAAATCTTGACTAAAAGCAACAATCTGAACTCATTGCAAATGGACACATTTTATATGCTGTTACTTATAATCTACCTGGTTTATTGAGGACCTACAATGAATATCCAACACAAACCCAAACATAACTTTTTATTCAAGTATTAAAATGTAAAGCACATGTGAACAAAGTACGGATCAACACAATTAGAAAAGCAAAACTCCTACTCTCCCTTAACAATCAATTTGTGATGTGTGGTCTCGTTACTCCCCATTCTTCTGGCTCTTCCTTGTCCATGTAATGCATAGAAATGTTTGCACAGTAGCTTAAGTAAACTACAATCCTGTGTCCCAAAATATTCCAGTTGGTCGCTTAACTAAAATGCACACAGGATGAAAACCTAATAAAAGATGTAACCAAATTAATGACAAATGTACCAGTAGCCAAGCATGTTACTGCACTCAGCAAAGTACTTTCACCCATTCAGCTTTATCAGTTCTGAGGCTTTTTTTTTAAACATTTGGACTACAAGAACGTTTTTGAAGGAGAAGTTAAATTTAACACACAATAATAAACATTTTCATGAACCGCATAATATTTGTACTTAAAGCCAGATAGCATAGATACAAACATAATGATGCCGACCTATCAGATAACACTGCAATATGCCGAAACTGCTTACTGTTCGTTAGTAACATGGTGCTTGATTTTTATCAAAAGTGAATATAAGAAAGGCACAACAAAATGAGATCAGTATCCCACCCATCCTAAATCTGATCAATTGTTCCCACAACATTTTATTTTTCGCTGTATATTTAATTGCCTGTTCATATGAACAAATTTACAACAGTAACCTCATTTTTAACGAGAACACTTGCAGGCAAATCTCCCAGTTTGACAGGTACAGAGGCATAGATATTTAAAGAGCTGTTGTGCCTATGATTTGGTTTATGTGGTCTATATGCCCTTATAGTTGACATCATCTTAAATCTGGTAATTAAATGAGGACATTGCTAACAACTGAGGTAATAGGTAATGGGAGACATCTTGAAATGACAAGAGTGACTGATGAAGAAAGTCTAAATGCATATACAGAAATAAAAGGTGCTGCAATAAGACACTGTTTAACATTCTTTCTTTTTAGCAAAAATTGTGGGGTTAAATGAAGACCTCTAAGCAAATGACATCAACTTGTAGCCACTAAGCTTACAGCCAATGACTAGACAATCCTCTTCGCTCCAAGCACTCTTCCACACAGAGGAAATAAAAACAACGAACACCGACTTAACTGACTGCCTTACCAAAGTGCCTATGAGTGCTTGAGATTGCAATAAATTCAGAAAATTCTTTCTATTCAAGCAGCGCTATTCTGCCGTACAATCCTTATAACAGGTAATTAGTATAAATCAAATTAGAAACTTAAGCATTTCTTGGAAGTAGGGCTGGGTGACATAGCAAAATATTTTGTCATGATAATTTTTTTTGCATCATTCTATTTATAATTATCACGATATAATTCGGGTTGTTATTTCTTCTTTCCCGTGAAGTGATAGGCTGATGTGTGCTATCAAGCGATGTCCCATATCGACAGTTTATCAAAGTTTGTCATTTTTTTCATCGTTTAAATTTTATACTGCGACAAGCATATATATCGTTTATGTCATCCAGCCCTACTGGGGAAATGAAACAAAGACTGTGCATACCTGCAAAAAAAAAAAAAATCATGTAATCCCCAGAGTAGAAATAAACATTGATATAACATAAACTGTTTTATAAGAATAAACTTAGATTTTCTAAATAATGTCTACAGACCATGAATTCCAATACGCCGTGATGCTTTTCAATACAATAAGTGCATCGGTCCTACTGCCAACAGTGACAGGTGGAGGATACAAGAATGCACTGTACTCCAAAGCTGTCTCTCAATTCAGGGGCCACATCCTTCAAAAGGCGCAGTCTACGAAGGTGTGGACTATGTAGCCGTGTCACAGACCGTGAAGGTTGGACCATGGGCCTCCTTTTACCATTGCATTAAGAAGTCCCACTCCTGTCACCTAGCAACCTTGACAGCTGCTCTGCTGCAAAGAATCTTGGGTGAGCCGCAAAGGTTTAACCAGTTGGAACCTTCCTTGCCCAGGTAAAGAAGGATGCATTTCTCAGCCATATTTGAAGGAGCCTTCGGAATGGGAAGCCCTTGACGCAACACTGTACACAACTGGTCTTCAAATGCAGCCTTCGAAGGATTCACCCCCTGAATTGGACACAGCTAAAAAAGTTTTTTTCTTCCACATGTAGCACTGGGTTAAGCTGAACTCTTGAGGGCAAATGAACAAACAGAGGAACAACTAGTGGAGTGGTGTGGGCTCTGCTGCAGCATTAAACGCCTGCCTGCTGAGGACCTCGTCTTCAGTCATCCTTTAAGAAATAAGCAGTCTCAGAGCACAACTTGGAGCCAAGTCATGTCCACCAGAAGGAAACTCAGAAAGTCTCACAAAGTCCTGGAAGAGTCTGACATTTTCGTGCTGTCAATCTGCTGTGATCCCTTTCTCTCTGAGCTCCTCTGTCACTCGCACCAGGTAAGTGGGGTCTGGGTATCCAAAACTGTCAGGAGAAATTTTTTAAAAAGTCATCACTGCATCTGTATGAGTTCACACATCAACAGTGCCATAAACTGATAGCATTTCCCTCTCAGGATCTTGAATTACATCCATCTTAACTGAGTCCTTTTCTCAGCTACCACATCTCTTAGGAAAGATGAGGCTATTACTCAATCATATCTCGGCAGTCATTCACATTCAGCTAAAAGACCATACATACCAGCGGGGCCCGCCCCAAAGTGAGGTCTTGTGGTGAATGTCATTCCAGGTGATGACATTTTGCATGCCTGTAGTCATGGAGGTACCGATGGTGAAGATAAGGCGCTGTTCAAAGGCCCGGCGCAGCAGGCCCAGCACGCGGTTCCCCTCAGGGCTGTCAGGGAGGTAGGCCACACGGTCTGTTCCTGGGTACCGAACACCTGGGTTTGGGTGTTCAGGCTGTTGGCAATGAAGTGTTTAAAACAAGATCAATCTGTCTCTTCTGGGAAAGATAACGCTGATTTTACACATAAGGTTAGTTTGGTAATCAGCCTGTAAAACTATTTTATAATGTTGTCTGTGGGGAGGAGAGTTCTTAAGTCTCAGAAGCAAAAACCCTATTGATGTCATCAGGCGATATCTCAGTTTGGACTTTGAGACTAGCACATAACAGAAAACCTGGGGACTTGGAGTTTGTTTTATCAGTGAGCATGTAAAGACAAAATACTATTTGCTTCATTGTTCCAAAAAAAAAAAAAAAAAAAAACGGGGGGGTCCAACACATTTTTGGAGCTTGACCCAAAAAGTGAAAGGATTTTATGGAAAGAGCAATATTAAATCACTGGAGGTTAAGGTTGCCTTAACTAAGATTTAGCACAAATTCTGATAAATCAAGGAAAATATTGTCTAGACGTCCCTCTGAAGCAGCCTTGCTCTGTTAAAGGCTCAATCCGTAATTCTTATTCCATAAATTGAGCTAAATCCGCCAATTAATAAAAGAGTTAGTTACACTAGTGAAAAAAACTTAGACTTTGTGATCATAACTGCAAAATGAGGTCTGTTTTATTGCCGTTTTAGAAAAACTATTGACATAACTACACATTTACTTTACCAGAATTAGAAAACAATCCGTTTTGTTATCATCTATTGTTTCTCCATGCACTTAAAGAACTTTCAATTAAATTTTACTGTGGCTGCAGGTTCAGACCATGTTTTGAATTCTGGTGTTGGGATGACTGAAAGGAATTAGTTGACTTGTATTTGGCTGACTAATGAAGACTCAGGACACAAGAGCTTCCCAGTTCAGGCACACTCCAGCATCAAATATGATGCAATCTTCACAAAGAATCAGATGGGTTTGTCCTATATTTATGGGGGCACCAGAAACTCCTGGATTCTACAATCTAATTCTAGCTTGTTCTGGATACCTTCAATGGTGCATTTAATTTCATATAGCACCTAATACAGAGGCTAAGATGCAGGCTTTGAGCCCCCATGGAACATTGTACAGCCTAGAAGAATGGAAATGTTTGAAATACATACTGTAAACCAACAAGATGTCAGAGACAGAAAGGAAGATCTGCGCAGTCAAGTGAAGGGTCTTGATTGTTTAAAGAGATCTGATCATCTACGTAACATTTCTTACATACTGTATATGATTACAATAAAAAAAATTATTTTATTCCATATCAAAAATGGTCTTAATCCTATTTGACAGTGTTTAATGTTGTTATTATTTTATCCAAAGTTGAGTTTTGTTCCACCCACAGATGATTATCAAAAGTTATTCCAGTAGCAGCACCTACACATGCACATGCTCTCAGTCTACTCACCGCCTGTAGGCCAGGAGGGAAGCTGTAGATGATGCAGATACACCCATAGCCTTCATGGCCAGGAAGCTCCAGATCAGGGTCTCGCTCTACAATCATTGTACCATTGGCAGGCTGGTTTCCAATCAGCTGGCCATACACTAACCGACACACAGGACACGCTTTCTTGACCTTAAATGCCTGATCTAGGCAAGAGCAACAGAATGAATGGCCACACCTCTCCAGGGTAGTCTTCTCCACTATGTCCCCCATGCAGATTGAACAGGTATTGTTGTCCTCCACCTCACTGTGGGTAGCCATGCTGGAGTCACCATCCTTCCTTTGGGGTGCTTCATGGAACAAGGAACAGGCATCCTCATCAGCAGGCTTCCTAAACCTCTGCTGCTGTCTCTGGGAGCGACGAGGCTGGGGAGGTGGAGGCTGAAGCAGGCTCCCTTCTCCGTTTGGCTCCAGGACTCCCACACAGGGCAGCAGAGCCCTCTTTCTCTTAGATCCCCCCTCCTGTTTGCTCATTTCTTTGCGGGCACAGCGGCATAAGTCAATGAAGGCTTTTCGTGTCTCGCTGGAGATGGGTCCATCCATCATCCCAGCTCCAGCATTCCTGAAGCCTTCTACCGGTTGCAGCCTCACGGCACAGCAACCCCCCCTCTCTCCTCGCCTAATGATACCAGCGCTCATCCCCTGCTTTCTCTGGAAGTCAATGAGCCAGGGCCGCCCAGCTGCAGCCAGGTAATCCCACACCGCCTGCGAAACCAGCACCTCATCACTGCCCTGGCCAGCACGCACACTCATCTCATCAGAGGAAACTGCAGAGGGAAGCACAGAAAAGTCATCAGCACAGTATTTGAACAAGAACATTCAAACAAACAACTGTCACTTGTATGAATGTAAATCCACTTACCACCTAAAGTTATACTGTTACTGTATTTTAAAATGCATCATGGAGAATGATGCCATCATTCGCTCTGTTTTTTTTTTCTTGTGCTGGCTTTACTTTATTTTCCACATTACCTAACAGCTCAGGCACACCAAATAAAAATCAACATGACATCTATTTATCTATTGTATCTATGCATGACCTAGTGAATCTCATACCACTAGACAGGCAGCTATTTGCAGTGACTGCAGCACGTCAAAGAAATACCCAACAGGCAGTAGCCTATCGCGGCATTGCTGAGGATGTATCAGCTGTTCAGAAATTCTGACTGTAAACAAAGAAAACTAAAACCCGACATACGCAGAAACAGGGCAGCCGCATGCAAACGCCAAAGAGTGGCACTTCAGACCGAGTTAGTTACCTTGTGATCCCATAAATTCCTTCAGTTGCGAAAAAGCCGTCCTGTTGAACAAAAAAAGAGAGGAACAAAACCCGGAGGACTGGAACAAACGTTATCACAGCTGCTCGGCGATATTTAAACTGAGCCATTCTCCGCAGCAGCAAAAGGGGGGAAATATCAGCAATCTCACAGGATTAGCTTTGATACATATCGAGTCAACATGTAGCTAAGTGGGTTTTCCTCTGATTACTTCGATACCTCACCCCTCGCCGTAGCTCGTCGCTGCCTGTCAGGGAGGTTTCTGGATGGATTAAAGCGCACGGTGCTCCATCAGAGGAGGCCTTTATTTCTGATGCGCCGCTGCAGTTTATCCGCGGATAATTAGCGTTCTGTCGTCAAGACATGATAGCCAGGCGTATCCCCAGCTCGTATCTTTTAGGCTTTCAGAAACCCATCCCTGCCCTCGGTAGATGCCATCCAAATCCCGCACCTCGTCCCTAGTCTCGCCCCGTGTTTGCTTTCCCCGTACGTCCTTGGGCTACACGTACCAGAGTAAATAGCACTTGGAGTTACACTTCTTATCTGGCTACCAACCACTCTAGCTATGTGGCAGCTCTCTCCTAGCGGATAATTTGCTCTTTCTTCTCATTTTGCGCCTGTCTTCGCTTTCAAACGGTGTCCTATTGATGTGTAGAGGAGCAAACATACCCATGAATAAAGGTCCAGGAAGAATGTGACCAGGAAGTTCGTCATGAGTTGACATGATTGGCTGACAAATGGTGGTTTGTGTTTTTGTATGCCGTGAGTGAATCATACCTTTTGTCGTGATTAACAGCTTTAATTATAACACAAGGCTCGGTACAAGCTAAGTACACACAAGTGTGCAGCCTACACGCCATCGAGGGAATACCTACTCTTTCAGTTATGATGCAAATGAAGCAGTGCTTCACAATACCCTGACTTACTGACAGGAATGATGTAACTGTTGGGATTTATGACAGTAAACTGTTTGGGTATAACAGCAGCTTTTCATTTCACACTGAATGCTTTAATAAGAAACATCTAAATAACAAATACAAGGACAATAATGTTCTGTTTGAATGCACATACGCACACACGTTTCAATTTAATCCAAGCCACCACTGCAACATGTATAGTAACCATATTAAATCAATACTTATCTAAGAGTGTAGATAGATAGATAGATAATTGTAGTTGATTGTTTATTATTTATAATTTTGTGGGTATTCTTTCCATGTTTTCATTTCATTTTTCATAATTGTATGATTTATCTATCTAAAGTACAAAATACAAAGATTCAGGGTGTTTCCCCTTCTGTTTTAGCTTTTGGTTAGATTTAGGATTTGCTTATGTGCCAGCCAACATGCTTTGAATCACCCTGCTTGAAAAGCGTAGGCCAGCAAAAACATCACACAACAAATGCCATATAACTTCCCAAAAGCATTTGATTAAACAGTTATTACAACTTATTGAATACCTGTAGTTGTTCATATTTCAGCTGCTTCCTCCTTTATCTAATATCATCACCACATACAATTTATCTTAAGACAGCTGAGGTATTTGAGTTCTTTGCCAGTGGCAGCAAAAAATATATATATTTCTGTTGTAAAAAAAAAAATAATGTCAGTGCAGCCTTCAGTGGGAGCTGTTTGGAGCTGCAGTTTATTGTTATCCAAGTTAATTTGATGTTATATCTTATTTTCTCTGACAGCACTACACATTCAAACTTCTAATACTCGTCTCTTTTATGGTTGTGGTCTGGGGGAAAATACACCCTAAAGCATATAGTATGGCATGATGAAAATTAGGATCTACGATCACAATAACACATCCAAATTATGGCTTGTTTTCAGCCAGATATACCAGTGGAAAAAGAAAACAGCAGCACAGCAAGCTATTGTTAATTGTCCATTCAAATCACATTCCAGCTGCAGAAAGCTCCTGGAAGTAATTAAGCTTTCAGTGATTCAGTAATTTTCTTTAATTGTGACTAATTCTTAAGGCTTGTTTTCTGTAAAGCATTTGTCCTATTGGTTTGAATTATGTTAAGGTACTGGTGTCATCAAGCCCACAGTGAACATTTCCTACACATCTGAAGAAACTGCTCTTTCTTTACCTGCTTTGGCAATTGCTACTCTCGCCCCATCGGCAGCTGACAAGCCTCATGCTGGTGATACTGCCCCTCATTCTATCTCCTCTCTTGTCTAACTGCTTGAAGCTGCTCCCAAATGGTATCAGGTAGAGCTTTATTTGGCTTTAAAGTCATTTTCTGCTTCAGTGCTTTAACCCACAAAGAAAACCAATAGATGTCAAACACCATGGCTGCAGGTGCATCTGATAACATCCTGTGACTGTCTCCTGGCCCATCTCTCCTGTTTCTTTGTCTTGTTCTCTCTCTTTCTCTTTTGTGGTTTGACAGGGAGGCAGAGACAATCCAGCACAGGTGGATGCATCTTGGCCCGGTGATGTCCTCCATCCACCCATTATCACGGGGGGGCTGGAGCCTAACCCAGCTGACATTAGGCATGAGGTGGGGTATCCCCTGGACAGGTCCTCAGTCTATCACAGGGCTGACATGTAGACAAACAACCTCACACACTCACATTAACTCCTATGGGCAATTTAGAGTCACCAATCAACCTAATCTGCATGTCTTTGAACTGTGGGAGGAAGCCAGAATATCCGGAGAGGACCCACGCAAGCACAGGGAGAACATGCAAACTCTGCACAAAGGCCCCAGGTCGGCCCAGGCTCACACCCAAAACCTTCTTGCTGTGTGGCAACAGTGCTAACCACCACGTCACTGTGCCGCCTCCTGTGATGTCCTCTGCTATATAAATCTCCACTCCTCCCTGCACACCTTATTTTGTGTGCACTTCCACTGCTGCATCTGAGCTCATCTCTACTGACAAAATAACCAAAAGCCAGAGAGCTTTTCATCATCTCCAAATGCAGTAATGCCATGACAATAGGTACATTTTCTAAATCAGCGGCATTTTTTTATTGATGACCTCTTACAACTTATGCCATCTCATTTATTTTCGCCTTATTTTTGCTGTCCTTAAATATTTTAATTGAGAAACTCACAAGGGAGGGACCATTACCTATCCCTGCTTCTTCTATAGCCTAGTGCTTTTTCCTTGCTAGTTCATCGCTACATAAAATTAGTTCCACCTCAACCACATAATGACCCACCATTATGGGCTATAACACACAAGGGCCGTTTTTCCGCACTGAGTACTTTAAGTAATTTAAGTTGTTAAGTTCTGATAGTAATGCTTTTTACATTGTCAATGTAAGGCTTTTGGCTAGAGTATTTTGGAGTATTTTGCAGGGTGGTGTTGATTATTTGATTAATTGAAAATTAACTGCCAACAGTTTTGACTAAGCATTTAAGGCCTTTATAAAACAAGTTTGCCAAAAAAAAAAATCTAATTTTCAGCCTCTCAAATGTGAATATTGTTAAAGGGACATATTAAACACATAAAAATAAGCAAGCAAAATGTGAGCAAAAAACAGGAGCACCAATGATGGTATGCAGTGCAGACTTGATTCTAAGCTATTAACTTCATTTTATTGCCTGGTGCTTTATGAACCTTGTGTTTCATCATCATCATCATCATCAAACTTTATTAGGGACATGGTGACTGAATTTAAATACAAAATAATGAATCATTACTTTTATTTGCATTTATGTTTTCTTTTCTGTAAAGCACGCTATATACATAAACTATTATTTATAATAGCAGTATAACCTACTGTAACTATAAAACAATATAAATTAAATTAGTTTTTGAAAAAGAGTCCTACAAGACTGGGGATGGAGAGGATACATGCTGCAAACTGATAAGCTACACATTTCTAACTAATTTGTGATTAATCAAAGTAGCCTTTTCACAACCAATTGATATACAGTACAGTACAGTACAGTACAGTACAGTACACCTATAGGCTACCTGGAGGTCCCTTTCCATCTGGGTAGGAGCCCGTTGGTAATCCATCTTTATTATCAGGTAGGCCTACTCACTTTCGTTACGGCCAGACTGAGCCACACAGACAGAGTTTGTTATGGAGCGACACTGCTGGTGGAGCGTGTGCGCTGCTCCGGAGCATTGCGAACGCCCGTTCTAGAACTGTCTCCATCGGCTCCAGATAGCCAGTGGCGCTCCCACGCTACTCACGTTAGTAGAAGACGGGTGAAGCAACACGTCACGAGAATACGAGGAAACTACGCGAGACATACCAATGTATCGGTTGTAAACGTTAGAGTAAACTATTTCAGTGAGCAATTTTGCCAGACACTACAGCTGGTTCCACGAAGGGGCTTACTTGTCAAAACAGTGAAGATGTAAGTCTTTGGTTTATAATGCAGTCGGTAACAGTCTCAGCTAACTAGCTACAAGTCTTGAACCAGCGAGCATTAGCTAGCTAACTGAGCTAGGTTAGCTCACGAGCTAGCTTCTGAGGCGCGTTCATACTTCCACAGCTGCCAAAACTAAAAGGGACAGCGCATCGTTAAATCCACCGAGCGCTAATTTTCTTTCAAACCATATGATTTGGCACCACTGTCACCCATAAATCGATGAACTCAGAAATTTTTGTTTAGGCGTCTTACCTCAGTTCAGTTACCTTTATAGAGCAGGCTAGTGCAAACCAAAAAGCGTGGTGTCATGATTAACGTTAGCTTGTAAGGTTTCACTTTAGCTAAAATAAGCTAACGTCAACATGAACGCTGCACCCAGTTGCCAGTGAATAAGTTAAAGCAGCTGCTGTTAATTCGGTCAAATAACTCCCGTCTAACTGTGGGTCACATCCAAATAACGCTACGTGTTACTGTTAATGTAGCATTAGCTGACTTCTTTTTAGTATGAAAATCTAGCACAAATAAATTGGTATTATTTGTAATATAATGCTAGCAGGTGTACCATTTTGATTAAAGGGCGTATTCCAAAGTTTATTTGCATTTCTTAGAGAACAAGGTAAAGAGGTGAGGAGTAATTCAGGCACACAAACACCTGACAACGGACTGGCATGCAGGCTTTCTGTGGGCTAATCTGGAATGAATGAGTAAATCTTTACGTCAATATGACCGAAATGTGAACTCAAATGTACTGTACCCTAGATGTTAACCAACAGAGCATAATACCCCCCATGTCTTAACCTTATGTGTGCAGCTAACATTAGCAAGCGGCACAGTCTTTATTCTGTTGGATTGTGTTAGTGTTAATTATTTCCTCTTTCTACAATTTTTCATTAGGCATCCTGCAGCAGCTAAGTGGTATGACAGACGGGAGTCTGTGTTTATAGAGTTCTGCGTGGAGGACAGTAAAGATGTGCAAGTACATTTTGACAAGTCCAAAATTGATTTCAGGTGAGTTGCATTAATAACGTGATAAATTACTTAGAATTTTCTTAGCTTTAAGGTTAATAGGCCAAGTCCCTGTTTCTCCTACATCACTGAAAAGTCCATCCTCCATGTATGTGTAGTGGTCCAGGTTTCCATATCATGCATCTAAATCACAAATGACTCCTAAACTAGGTGTGATTTTACAAAGTCAGTTAATATACAACTTAATCTCATGTATGGAGAGTACAGAGAAAATCATTCAGCTTCAGCAAATGAATGTGAAAACAGCCCACCAGTGTCAAACTCTGCACATACATATTTCTACACAGTAAAGGTCAAACAAAGTCAAGTAACAGTAAGCAAAACACATATTGAGTGGAAGATGACTAAAGAAAAAAAAAATTACCCTTAAGATACACTTTGGAAAGAGGACCCTGATCTGTAATGCTGTGTATGAACAGAATGATGAACATAAATAGCGTCCTGGTTTTCAGTCGTTGAATGTTGTAAAGAAAATATCCTGACCTCTCCATTTTATCTTACAGCTGTGTCAGTGGAACAGATAATATTAAGCACCATAATACAGTGGAACTTTTCGGGGAGATTGACTCCAAAGTATGTACCTGCAGACATAGTTTCAGTTCTACCACTTGTTTTCTCCATGAAAACCTTCATCAAACTCTCTCCTGTTCCATGCAGGAATCCAAACACAGACGCACTGACAGATCTGTGGTCTGTTTTTTACGAAAAGCAGAGGCTGGGAAATCATGGCCACGGCTTACCAAAGACAAGGCAAAGGTAACTCATACTTCTAAAACAAAAAACTCAGTCCACAGCAGAGGTTGTGTTAAATATTTTCCATTACTGATAGATTTTTTTTAAAAATAATAAGTGAATCTGAAGGCCATCCATTTTGACAGATAAGAAAACAGAGGGCAATTTACCCAGATTTACAGTAAGACTACTAAAAATCCCAATAATTGCTATGGCATTCATAAAAGAGGAATTGATGTGGCGGATGAAGGACAACCGAGACCGTGCATCTTATTATTGGGGAGCTGACACTGCACTGAACAGCCAGAGACTAGAGGCCATGGAGCATGTCTGTGACAGGTTACAGAGGTGTGCAGCTGCGCCTCTAGCACAGAAGAACGATTGCGTGCTGTGGATTCCTTCTGGTGAAGTGAGTGTTTTAGGATTGGGAAATCCCTTGTTCATAGCAACTTCTAAACACTTCCCAAGAGAAATTTTTCTTATATTTTAATGGCAGTTGTCTAATTTTGTAAAAGTGCACTATACATTTTTGCTTGTTTAAGCACAGTGACTGCAGTGTTTTTAGTGGCCTCCACTGTCACTGCAAGAAAAATGTCATGTTAACATGAAAAGTGGCTACATTAGCTCATTCCACATACTAGTTCAGTGTTTCCCATAGACTTAACATTCTAATTGTGGCAGTGGGGTGAGAGGGGTGTCACGCTTTAAAGTTAAATACAGTAATGCTATAGGGCTGCAGTGCTGTTCCTTTGACCTGTCCCTTTTACTCTAGCTCTCCTACAGCAGCATCCTGCTGGTTGCTGCCCTCCTACTACATCTCCCTCCTGACCCTCTTTTGCTGCTTCAGCAGCACTGGTTAAAAACAAATATTTTAAACAAATCAATTGGATTGCTAATCACATTGATCGGACTGATCAGCTTTCCTGCAGGGCTTTTTTTTCAGAGATAATGAACTAACAACATGTTAGAGTTGGATCTCCACAATTGACAGCTTTAGGTTAAAAAAACACGGGGGAAAATTTACTGTTCAGACAGTTCGTTGTCATGTGTTTGTGTGTGTGTGAGAAAGAAATAGCACAGGGCATGGAGGGACTGAGCGAATACATGTGGTATTCACAGCACTACATTCAAGTAAGATTTTATCTATTTTAAATCCATATGTGGCAGTCAATGCTGATATTGTGGTGGCCTGCCACAAATAAGTTAATGTAAGGGAAACACTTATTATTAAAATGAAAATGAATGAAAATTAAATAGGCTGCCTTATCATTAAAAAATGAAAATTAAAGTGACATATAACAATAAATTATGACAATTGACAGACAATGCAAAAGTTTAGTGTGACCTCTTCTCCACAGATATTAACCACTTGGCATTTAACCTAAAGAAACTTTTGTCTGACTGCATAGCAGCCTGTTCCCAGAGACCCTGCTGCTCTCTCTCTCGGAGTGACTGGCTCTGCTGTAGTGTTGCTAACACTAGTAGTGTTAACTTTAACCATTGTTAACCACTTTGGTTTTGGCATTAGCATTACTGTTTTTATCTATGTTCTCAATGTCATTATTGGTATATTAATTTTGATCTTCTTTGAAGTATTAACTTGGGAAAAAAATTGGATATTCATTGCTTGCTGTTGCTTACTAACTGTGGAATGCTTCCCTGAGGAGGAGTTTTCTAAACAAATCATTTCCTCAAAAAATTATTTTAAACCCATTTTCCACAATCATTCCTCAATTTTAAACCATGTCCACAAATTAAAGTGTGTGGGTTTTTTATTTTTGTTTTTTTGTTTGTTTGTTTTTTTCTACCTTTTAACTTTTTTTAATGGCTGATCATAAGATGCTGCTACCTGCAGCCACCAGTGGGGGGCAGCAGCACCTCCCTTCCTGTGCTAATGCTGCTGTCGGCCAGCCTGTCCTTTAAAGCTCATTGGGAACTGCCGAAGGTGATACTGAATCATTGTGGACTGAACAGATCAAATGCTTCAGTAGTGCATATGCACCACTTGTGTCTAGTTTTTAGTGGGATTTCCAGTAAGACTGGTAATAATATAGCATGCCACCTAGCTAAACAACTAAGTAAAATGTCAACTTTGAAGAAAGAGCAGGGATAAAATGATCACATGTTAAATACTGCCTTACTTAAACATTTGACTCCATCGTCTCTTAGTGCAACTGGCTGAGTGTGGATTTCAATAATTGGAAAGACTGGGAAGATGACTCGGACGAGGACTTGTCAAGTTTTGACAAATTCTCAGAGGTAAGCATCCTGAACATGCATGGTTCCTTTAGTGTGAGTATGTCCAGATACAGTACTGCAAATGTTCACTGTTGTTTCGTGCATTTCACCAGATGATGAACAACATGGGAGGGGATGATCTGCCAGATTTAGATGGTGCAGATGAGGAGGTATGTATTTTAAATACATAGTAATTGTTTTTTATATGGCTCCTATCCTTTATTCTGGAGTCAACTGTTTTGTTTGAGGAAATTTTGAATCAATACATTTATTATAGAAAATGGTGCATGAAAATTTATAACTTGTTGCTTTGTTTTGCAGCATGATTCTGCAGACAGCGATGATGAAAGTAAGTACTGTCTTATAATTTCCCATGGGTTGAGGAGGAGACAAAGAAACCCATAAATTTAGATGGCACCAAGGGCAAACAGATGATTTATTGAAGGGTCTGATGTGTAAGCTGTTAAATGTTTTTGAATGTTCTGCTCACTCAGAGATGGCTATAATTAAGAGCTTAATAAGAGATTTTAAAATGTTAGCATAAGTTACAACTGTTCCATCCAAAAAGCCACTGGGATCTGTAAGAGATGGTTAAAATGTTAGCATAAGATACAGCTGTGTTCCATCCAAAAAGCCACTGGGATCTAAATTGGTACTATCAATACTTTTATGTAATGATATACTTTTAAATGCTTTATTTGGTTATAGTTTTCATGTGTATTAATGATTAGATTCAGAACTAATCACATGCTCACACATCATGGTTTAAATCGTTTCTGTTCCAGAAATGCCCGACCTTGAGTAGATGAATATGGATGCCACATCAGTAATAAACAAAGCAAGTTATATAAGTGGGTTGAAGAGTGAGAATAGATGTGAGATGGCAGCCACATTGGAGAAGACACCTCATCTCTCCATGCAGTTTCCAAAGGGAAACCCCTCAAAGGAGTGACAGGGAGTGACAGTTGGATACAGACATGCACAGAGATCCATAGCGACATAGTGCTGTGCTTTGTTGTTCTGTTCTGCATGGACAATTCTGTTCAAAAGAAAATGTTATTGTTCATCGACTTAAATGACTGTCATGGGATGTGCTGATGTCTTACACCCTCTCGCTCTCTTTTTTTTTCAGTCAGGTTATGTATCAAACATTGATTTTCTTATGAAAAACAAACGCAAAATAGCTATTTTCCAAAAAAGTGATTTTTTTAAATGATAGAATTCCCCTTTAATGTTTGTATTGTTAATTGCACTTATGTTTAATTTAAAAAGCAGGAGTGCCAATTGAAAATGGGTTTTCCAATGTATGCCAACACCTGCAAATATTTGGTTTTTTGTTGAAAATATTTCAGCATTTAAAATATATGCTTGTGCAGCATAACAGCTTATGTTGAGATTAAGGTAGTAGACTGCTACAGCATATAGTCATACCCTTGCAAAGGTGAGTTTGTTTATCCATGCCAGGGCACAAAACATCGCATATCATAACAGGTACAAAAGTATGTTTTCTTCCATGCTCATTTAATGGTAAAGGCAGATATCCTGTGTAGTCTACCAAAAGTTTCCCAAACAGGTTGTGTTTGTTAATCACACACTCAAACTTTGCTTTGGAGGCTTGTGTGTTTGTTTCAATATGTGTTGAACAGTTTTGCATTTGTCTTATGCTGTAGGAGTTTGGGTATGCATTTCTAATAAACTCTTTCAGACCAATGAATACAAGGCCTAGTACTGAGGTATTACTTATTCGATTTCCAAAAAAAGTTTGATTTAATGAAGTTTAGAGAGAAAATTAACAGAAAAAGAGATTAATCTTCAGTAATGTAGGGATATGGTCTTTGTGTTTGTTTATAGGATAGGTTCATATTTTATCAAGGCTGTCTGAAAATGGCATGTCCATATGTACATAGAATTACTGATAACTGTAATTGTGTACTTGCTAAGCAAAGACATTCCTCCCTGACATTTCAGTGTAAGAGATGGGAGATCAAATCAGGTAATCATTAATCTGTTAAAGTGGTTTCAAAAGCTAATCCAAAGATAACACAAGGCTCAAGCACTCTTGACAGTCAGCTACAGTTATCTTTCTAAATGAGTCTGTTTTGAACTAAATTCCTTTGTTGGTCCTGTTATAGTCTTCACTTGCTGAGCTGCAGTGATGCAACAGTAACAAGAGGAAGAACATACCCTCTTGATTTGGCTTACACAGACTGAGTGTTATAGTATTCGCTTCAGCAAATCTCTAGAATGCATTTTTTACAGGTATGAGGATTTTGTCCATCATTTCTGCTGTGGAATCGCGTTAAGAGGTGATGTCCAGAGAACCAGGATGGTAAGAATTACAGAAACTAATTTCTCTTTTAATTTGCCCATGGGTATTTAATTAGATTTGGAAAAAACATGAATCTATTCCTAAACCAGGATAATGTGAAATTTCAGTCTACAGCCACTGTGTAGTGCTAATACTTCACAGAACTGCAGTCTGACTTCACATTAATGTTACACATGGCATTTCAGGTGCTTCCCATTTCCTCTGTATTGAGTGCAACAATGGAAATGGAAGCCTGAAATTCCTTTATGCTGAAAATGTCCCTTCTAAATTATTTATGATGTTGCTTTGTGTGATTTTTTTTCCTTCCAAACCATGTTTTAGTTTTTTAAGTAGAATAATAAGCAAACATCAGCCAAAACAAAAAGCAACATTAAAACAGAAAAATGTGACCTGCATCCTTTGAGGCATAAAAATATCTGCTGATTTATAAATCCTTCAGCCACCATCTTAGCACAGCTTTCCGGAGTATCTACAGTAAAGAGGCAAAATTTATATATATATGTATATGATAAGACAAACATCATAGAAACCAGCAGAAACTGTTTTCTGCCATCGTTTTGTTTCTGTGCATGAAAGGAGAAAACCAGCGAGGTCAGCATAATCCTTTCAGGAGGCCTCTGCTGTCCGTCTGGCTGCCCTAGTCAGCATGATGCTCCAATGCAGAAGCTCAATGCCAAGCCCTCCTCTCCCCTCTTCCTCTCCAGTTGTGGATTTTCCACCGCTTTATCTGACCTGAGCCTCAAAACACACCAAGCCAAACAATGTAAAACTACATCTAATCAGTTCTGATGCCACAAACCTCCAGAGCACAAGTGGAGAAATTGAGAACTTGCTTGGTGTCAGTTTTTATTGTGTGGATGCTGAGTCAGCAGCATCCACACTATGTTATCCTGTTCTTTATATTTTGATTTCTTCCGTACATTTTTTTGCACTCAACTCCAGCATACTTTCAGCTAGAAAAACCATTGAAATATCAAAATGTTCTGCCTTTTAGGAACATGTGTGCTTGTATTTTTTGGTTTTGTAACATTTATACTTTTTAATATATTCAGCATTTTTACAACATTTGTGTGCCACTGTAATTACTCTATTGCTGCCTGTGTGTGTGTGCTACTGTGCAATGGTTTGTGTGGTGCCATGTTAATTTTAATGTTTCTGTTTTAAGCAATTAAAGTGTGTGCCTCGCCCCTTTTCCCTTGCTAAGCTGTGTTAACCAATAGCAGAAACCAGTAAAAGTTCTAAATGTGTGTCTCTCCAGGAGCTGGATAGCTTGGTGGTTAACGCTACTGACTTTGGTACGCCAGGTCAGGGTTTGATTCTCTGTCATGGCATGATAGATTGTGGGAGGTAAGATAGACAGTGGTAAAGACCTTATCTCCTGTCTATCTCCCCTCCCTGAAAAGCTGGACACCCCTTAGTGGAAATGTAAGATGCTCCAGTTAGTTTTTCGCAGAAGATACTGCTACACAAACCAAATTTGTGTTTACTTCTCTGCTTGCCCCAGTTTTATAAGTTCTATCACAAATCCTAATTTCTAAAGTAGCCATAAGTCAAGCTCTACTTTGAATATTTCTTTCTTTGTTTCTTTAAAAATTGCAACCTGTTAGTCCAGATTCAGTGATTTCTAGACTGAGCAGGCAGAAGGTTAAATGATTTTGTTTTGATTGGTAGTACTGTGCCATAGCCCCTCCCCTGTGCCCAGCGAGACTGCTGTAGCCCCTGGGTGTTATAAAAAAGGCCTCTGAGCTCCCCCTGCTCTGGTAAAGAGGCTGAATGTCTGCCGGACATGCTTAACATTGGTCTATCCATGTTCTACTTCTAACAACCTCCAGGGTTGGTGCATAGATGCACAGGGACTGGTGTACTGCTCCACTCAGGAGCTCTCTATGACAGAAATCAGAGTTCAGAAGGCAGAACAGCAGATTATTTAGATACATGAGACTTGCATGTTGAGCAGTTTGTGTTGTTGCATTATAGTTTTAGAGAAACAGTTTCTGTTTGAGGGCAGCATTTTATCATTTTCTTTGTGTTTTTGTTTCAAGCACAGTCTTTATTGTGCAAAAGCAGTATCTCCTTATACTTGATTAGTGTTTCTGTTGACTTTTCATCCCTCCATTGCTTAGAGGCAGTTTTTTGACCTTTAGACACCATGTGGGAGGTCAGATCCTTGTCTTTCTGGCGGGCGGTGTTTGCAGAGTTCTATGGCACCATGTTCTTTGTATTCTTTGGGCTAGGGGCAGCCCTCCGCTGGACCACTGAGTCCCATAAAGTCCTTCATGTTGCTTTTTGCTTTGGGCTGGCAGCTGCCACCCTCATCCAGTCCATCGGCCACATAAGTGGAGGTCACATCAACCCAGCCGTTACCTTTGCTTGCCTGATTGGCTCCCGGATGTCCCTGTTCCGTGCTTTCTTCTATATCATTGCCCAGTGCCTCGGGGCGCTGGCCGGTGCTGCTGTGCTCTATGGGGTCACACCAAGCAACATAAGGGGAAACCTGGCACTCAACACGGTAAGATTACCTGCCAGTACACCAGTCACCAGATTCCTGTATTTCAAATGTGTCATTACATTTTTACATAGCTACAAATGACAGAATGTTCAGTCACAGTATTACGTACCCAAAATATATTTGCCAGTTCTATCTTCAGCAGCAATATAAATCTAAAACCTGGTAAGTCTGACAGGTCGTTCAAAGGTAAAATGACTATGTGTGTGTATGTACAGCAAAACCCTGCATCTGTATTACATATATAGGCATGTAACTTAACTGTATCTATCTAATAAATTTAAATGTAATTGGTTATTCATGTATACACCCATGTCATTAACTTCATTAGTGTTTCTGTCCCTCCTTCAATCTTGCAGGTGCAGCCAGGCATTAGCCTGGGCATGGCCACCACTATGGAGGTCTTCCTCACCCTGCAGCTCGTCGTCTGCGTCTTTGCTGTGACTGATGAGAGGTGCAATGGGCAACTGGGCTCTGCTGCACTGGCCATTGGCTTCTCTGTACTCATGGGCCATCTTCTCGGGGTAAGAATCAACCTAGGGTGTAGAAATTTGAAACAGCTTACTTAGACCTGAGCATTGTTGTTACATATGTGAATTTACAAAGAACCCCAAACTACTCTTTCTTTGACATAGACAGGAATGAATCCAGCAAGGTCCTTTGCCCCGGCTGTCCTGGTCAGGAATTTTATCAACCACTGGGTAAACTGATCATATGTGTAAATCCTTTTAAAAACAAACCATAGTAATGTGACATCTTCACACTCAACAACACATTCTACACTTGTTTGTTTATGACAGGTGTACTGGGTGGGACCCATGATTGGTGGTGCCATTGGTGCATTGCTGTATGACTTTATGCTGTTCCCCCGTATGCGCGACCTCTCTGAGAGGTTCGCTACTCTAAAGGGCACCTGGCCCCGAGAGGCTGAGGGTCAGCAGGAGACCAGAGGAGAGCCCGTCGAGCTCAAGACACAGGCCATATAAGCCTGGAGGAGAAGATTGGCTTTCTGACCCTGCCCCTCCCCTGTCATGCCTCACTTTGCACCCTCAGTTCCTGGTCCATCCTCAACCCCTTCAGACATACCTCCACCCTGCCTCCACACATGCTAACCCATATCCTGCACTCCTTGTTGTGCATCCAGAGCTGGACCTACTGATTTACAGTGAAGAAGCACCCACGGTGCTGACCAGCTGTCCTGATTTCACCTCATCCCATCATTCCTCCTCCTCCCCCTTGGACTGCAGGACAAAGATGGAGGATCAGAAGAAGACTTGCCACTGAAAGAAGCACACTGTGCCCTGTGGTGTGGGGAGTTGGTCACTCCTGGCTGACTAGGTGGCTACAACTGCTCAGGAAAGGGGCCCCTCACTCTCACTCTCTCTCTCTCTCTTTCTGTTGCTCTCCCTATTCTGTATTCTGCTAGGAGTGAAGCTGCAGTAGAGAAGTGGATTTCTGAAGCCTTTTCCATTTTGATCCCATGTGATCGCACTAATTTTTCCTGTTTCATTTCATGAACGTTTGGTAAATTACGTATTGTACTTTACCAGTATTTATTTGGCTTACATTCTTATTTTTTTATATAGTTACATGAGCTTGTGTGTGCAAGAGAGTGTGTGCATGCGTATGCTTGTGCGCTTGATGTAATTGAACAGTTTTGAACTTTTTTTTTTTTTTATCTTTCAAGTTATTTTAGAAAAAAGGGAAAGATGCTGCCTTTCCACACCCTCACTGAGAGTGCAGAAGTATTCATGTTTAGTGTGATCCCCTTTTTATAACAGATGTAGACAATCTATGCGTTTGAGTCAGGTGTGTGAGAGGTGGTTTGCTTTTACTTTTGCGTGTCAGCTATGGGAAAGCAGAGAACAAACTTGGCAAGCTGTCATGAAGAACAAGCATTTTTCAGTTGATTTGTGTTTGACAGGACTGACAGGTCTTTGTTACATCATCTCATGGTTAAACATGAAAGAGAGCAGGAGGTGTGGTGGCTTCTTGCTGGTGCTGGTAAACACGTGGTTCCTTCTCTGTCTACACTGAGATGGGTGGCTCTCTAGGAGTGAGATAGTTTAATTGGACAAGCCCCTCTGTGATATTTTGGAGATGAGAAGGTCACCATGAGGTGACTGAAATCTCTAGGGTGCTGTACAGGGTGATATATGGTATGTACACTTTTGTTTTCATACAGTCTCCACTCTGCAGTTGAAGCGCTGCATGTCCTCTCTCTCTTCCATGCCTCCTCCATTCACCCTACCTTCGCCCTTTGTTTTATGAGGCAGCCATTAGGATGGGGTGCTGAGATCAGTTAGTATTTCGACAAAATACACCAGAGCAGTTATTGAACCAGATGTAAGCAGATTCTCTTTCTGCTTCCTCTATATAACTTTTTTTCCAGTGTGATTTTCCTGGCTGTGGTTGAGTAGGAATTTTGTTTTAGTAATGTGGAAATTAACTTTTGTGTTCTGATAGAAAAGCTTTGTGATGTACAGTGTAAAGTTTTCTTTTTTTTAAAAATACATTTAATGATGGTTGAAACTGCATCAATAGGAAATATAATATGCTAGTAATGCACTGTCTCCTCTTTGGCTGATGAATTATAGAAGTGAAGGGAATTATCTTATTCACCAATATGTTTCCACTCAATAGACAGCCTTTATGATTGTAGGCATAGCTTTCCACACAGTGCCACTGATTTTTATTTTTATATGTTTAAAAAAAAAAATATTGTTTCCAATCCTTTTTGTCTGTTTTCTTTTAGGCCCACTGAAGAAAAATATGGAATTTAAATAGATGGATCCATTCAGGAGAGACGTAGCTTGGGAAGAAAAAAGTGAGTGAACCGTTTGGTCATAAAACGTGATCCGATCTTCAACTAAGTCACAAGTGTAGACAAATACATAGTGCTTAAACTAAAACTACACAGTTATATTTTTTTCTTGGCTTTATTGAACACATCCACTAACTATTCAAATAACTGGTTGAAGCTCCTTTGGCAGCAGTAACCTCAAACAAGCACTTCCTGTAGCTGTGGATCAGATTCTTTCTCAGAGTTGTTTCAGCTCAGCCATATTTCCAGAACATCTGATATGACTGAATGAGTGCATTCCACAGCATCTCTGTTGGGTTGGGGTCTGGGCTCTGACTGGGGCACTCCAAACATCAGATTATTTTGTTTTGAAGTCATTCTGTAATAGATTTACTTCAATGTTTAGGGTTATTATCCTGCTACATCACTCAAATTCCAGCCACCCTGACATTATCCTGTAGGATTCTTTGATAAATGCAGGAATTTATTTTCCCCTCCATGATGTCAGCTGTCCACGTCCAGAGGCAGCAGATCTGTCAGAAAATCTGCCATGTGCATTGTCCCTGTAAGAGCCCAGACCTCAGCCCAAAAGAGATGCTGTGGAATGAGGTCAATGAGCTGTTTACACCAGACATCCTGATAATATGGCTGAGCTGAACCAGTTCTGTGAGGAAGTACAGTATGTTTAGAATTCCTCCTGCATTGTACAGGTCTGAGCCGCAGCTACAGGAAGTGCTTGTTTGAGGTTATTGCTGCCAAAAGAGCTTCAACCTGTTAAATCTAAGGGTTTGCTTATGTTTCCCACTTTGAATGTTTAATAGCTATTCAATAAAGACATGAAAAATTATAACTGTGTGGTATAGGCTTAAGCTACAGAAGCACATTGCATTCAAGAAAGGAAAAAAATGATATCTCATTTCATAATTACAAAAACATGGTCTCATAATTACAAGATCCTTTTCTTGTAATTATGAGATAACATAGGCGTTGGACCACTGCAGAACTTGGCTGAAAGTCATCAGGTTAAATTCTTTAGCATCAGAGGTACTTCAGTGACAGTTGTCAGTACATCCAATAACGCATAGCAAAAGCTAACTTTTAATAACTAATTCGGCATATTTAGTGTTCCAAAACATAAACTAATATATAGGGGCCTCAAAGTTGCTGCCTACAGTGTTACTCACTATGGGCCTATACATTTACTAAGCAGGAATTGGAAAGCTTCTGAACCTGCTTGAGAAACATTGGATAAGGCTATAATGTTGGCATACTGTGGGCTGCAGCTTGGGTCCATTTTAGCCTGTATTTGTTTGCGTTTTGGAACACTAAGTACACCAAATAAGCTAATATCACTTAATTTCTACTATGTGCTATTCTATTGAGAGATTTGTGTTAATACTGAAGAAATCTTAAACACTCAGTTTCTCAAGCAGGTTCTGAAGCATTCCAACTCCTGTTCAGTATTGGTAGCCTAGTATTACACTGTAGGCTTTGTGTTTATCTACACACATTTTATGACCAAATAATGTAGAAAACCCAGTCATTCCAAATGGTCCACTTACTTTTTCTCGCCACTGTATATTTGCACATACTGAATAATCAGATGTATGCAACAAATAAAATATACTGTATGACACATTCCACTTGAGAACTAAGCTCTAACACTTTACATGAACATCTGCAAATCAAATTAATTTGCATGAAGTTCATGTCTAAACAGGATCTACTTCTCCACATTCACAATTTCAAAATTTGCACAAGCAGCTGTGCAATCAGGCAGGACTGACAAAGGGAGATAACTCAATTCTTGTAAATAAAACCACAAAAATGTTTTGATATTTTGAGGGAAGCTATTTACTTGTCACCACAAATCCAGAAGATGAAAGGTTATTAAACACAAATTACATGCACAATACTGGCAGTGATTGTACGCAGTGCTACAAATTTTTTTTTTTTTTTTTTTTTTTTACAAAAACCAGACTTTTGTTTACAGATTTCATTCAGATGTGAATGAAAGCTGCTAAAATCTGAACAAAATCAGATTTAGAGCAAAAGGTGATAAATACAACCCTAAGATGGTTCTTAATACCTACGATGTTTTCCTATGACTCACAGACAGTAACGCAGTCCTTTTTTGTGCATTCAGGCTTCTAAAATCCAAAATTAAAATGTATACCATGTAACATTTACTCTATGCTCAATTACAGGGAGGTGATACATGCTTGAGAGAAAAGGGCCAAAAACATTCAGATTAACCAACAAAAGCTTAAAAAAAAATTATACATCTATATACTGTATATACACTTGAATCAGAAAATACAAATTAGCCATTAATTCGACAAGATATCTTGTTAGCATTGTCCACTACCATCCTCACCACTTCTGTTGTTAAGTGTCCATCAATCTTGGTCTTGTTTCACCGGCGGCGATGAAACAGCTTATAGTTTGTATGTTCCTCAATATAGTACAGAACAGGTTAGGGTCAGAAACACTGACCCATGGCCGAACTATGGAATAATTTCCATGCATACCAACATGCTATAGCTGAGGCCTTGTGAATCATAAAGAAGGGTTATAAATAATAATGGCATACTATTGAAATGTGTCTGCTTCATCATGCATCATGGAACAAGCACACAGGGCAACTTGTTCTACAACCTGAAAATAAGAGCTGACTATCCACTGCTTGGTGATGTCATGTTACCTTTGTCTTCCCACTGTCTGCTGTCACATGTTTGGTCCTTGCTGCTGTAATTCACTTATTTTCCTAAATATTCTTAAAGCAAACAAAGACATCAGTCTCAACAGAGGAGAGGAGGAGAAAAGGTTTTTAAAAAAAAAAAAAAAAAAAAAAAAAAAAAAAAAAAGTGCACAGTGATGACAGCGCTTTTCTTTCTGGCGTGTTCTCAGTTCTTTGTCCTTAGAATGATTTCCTATTCACAGTGAGTCCTACAGAAATCAGATTGTCGTCAGTGTGTTTTTACTCAAAAGTACATGAAGATGGATGGATAAAAGTGGAGGAATGTCTGCACAAATGATGAGACTCGTGGGAAGGTAAGAGATGGGTGTGACTCTGGTCTCTAGTTAGTCTGCTTTGCACTCCAAAAACAGCTTTGATGGGAAAGCCTCCTAAGGATCCAGAGTCTGGAGAATACTTTCCAAATCTAGATCCATATTGTTACCTGGAGGACTAAACGACAGACACAAACACATAACAGCCTTTCAACACTCTGTAAAAACTACTTTTGGGGGCAAAAAAATGATAATGGATTTCACGCACAGACATGCAGACACCTACATGTGTTCACTGAATTGTTCATCGTTTGTGCTGAACTCCACATCAGTACTACACGTGGTGTCTTGAGTGATGGACTCTGGGGGGCTGAATGGTGGCTGGAACGAATGCCTGTTCAACAGAAGGAACAGATACATTAATAACGAGAAACATGACTTTTTAATGTCCTGAAATCATGTTTGGCATGCTGTTATTTGACATAATATCGCTGCGCTGCTGTTAGGACGACGTTTGACATACCTTTGATTTATTTCAAATATTTTTATTCATTGAGACTAGGGGTGTGCGATATATATCATCTACGATAATATCTTAATCACTGTTTAAACTATGTGTGAGCTGACATTATCCAGTATGTCACTCACTTTACAAAGACAAACTCACAGCTTGAGAGTCCACACATTCACTGCCTCATAGTAGGTTAGACTGTTTTGCATGCACAATCAGAGTGCAGGCAGTTAGTACATGGTGATGCACCACAAGTTCAGCTAGCATAGCTGCCTAAAAATGCATTAGCAAAGTTAAAAATGAGTGAACCAGCAGCTCTAGGAGACAAAAAATAGGCACCATCAGCACCACAATTGACATTGTTAATGCCTAGATGTGGATTGTGCTTTGGCTTTGAAAAGACTGATTGCTGTAAAGACAACTCACTTCCTTTCACCATCTGCAAACTAACCACCACACAGAATATGAAAAGCTTTGCGTCAGCTGTAGCCGACAGGACTAAACCACCCAAGACAATCACACTTGACAAGCTTTAGCGGAATCATTCTGCAAAAGTAATGTTAATGTTTGTGTACTATTTTACTTTAATGCTTCAGTTTTAAGTAAACAAACAGGACCTGTTTTTCTTAAATGTTTCCATTAAAATGTGTCTTAATAATTACATGATGTTAATATACACCAGTGCTTTCATTTGAACAGAAGGATTTCCTACATTTTGGGCTTCATGTCTCAAATTTCTTAATTTCAATTTTTTCAGTGACCTCAAGGCTTCCTGTGGACATCCCGGAGGTGACACAGTCAAACACATGTTGCTAGTAGGAGAGGACAGGTCGCTAGCTGGTAATGGGCCGCACCTTGGAATATGTATGAAAAGGAAGTGAGATGGTGGCATGGATTTAAATTGAAAGAACTGTGTGGAAGTGGCACTTACACAGGGAAGTTGACAGAACTGTGAGGGCTATCAGCCATAGATGCTATGACAAGGGGCGGGGGTGTGGCTGAGCCAGCTTCCCTGCACACACACAGAAAAACATGACATGTTCCCTGTGTTTACCACATATCTTAAAATGACTTTAGGTGTATGACTTTAGGTTATTTGCAATAGTTCCTTACGTGCCGACTTTAGTATGCAGTGACACAGGGATGTAACCCCCGCCGGGTGACGCTTGAGGCTCTGGTGCAAATGACAGAAGGAAAAACAGTTAGTTGTCTGTTCTCACTTGTACTTAAGAACATTAAACTGGCTGTGCATGAAGACCACTACCTGAGTAGAATTTTTTGAAAACTTCATGTTTAGGATACTCAGGATATAGGACTGTTATGTGATTGATGTCACGGATGCGGTCACCAAGGCTACGGATCTCAAGATCTCTCTTAGTGAAGGGTTGGATGTTTTGGATTTTCTGTCCCCCATCTAGGAGAAAACCATGTGTCAGTGCATGTGTGTGTAAGAGAGAGAGAGGGAAGAAAGTGTCATCATTACTTGATCCGTTTACCATCCAGTGTTCTACCTGCAGGACACTAGTACTATGTAGGGCTTCGACAGATTGCTATTACTGTGGAAAGTTACAAAAATATTAACATATACCATAGAGTGTGAATCTGATTGAAAAGTATTTTCAAAATCCAGGAATAATTTACAACAGAGACCTTTGTTAACTGTCCCTACCTACAGTACCTATCTGTCCAAAAAAATTATTGTATGTGTATAAAGATCAAAAGTTCTACATTTATCATTTAGATTAAATCTCACAAAATGGGGATAACACATAAAAGACATACTGTATGATTAACTGTGTAAATATTTTATTTACTGTAATGTAATATTTAATATAAGGCTGTGCCTTAGTTCTACAGGAAATAGAAAAAAAAAAGAAAACCACTCACTCTCACTGGCAGACACATAAGCAATGGTGATTCCTCCAATCTCAGAGTCACTAAAGCGGAGCAAGAACGTCCCATTGGGCCTGTCTTTGAGAATCAGGTGAAGATGCTGCTTCCCAATGAAACCAAATATTAGCCTGGTGGACCAAAACATTGCATACACTTGTCATTATTGCAGACTGAAGCGGTGGGTTCCTAATATTTACTACTGATTGAAATAGTGGAGTCTGCTCACCCTTCGCTCCAGTAGCTTTTCAGGTGCTTCTTGGTCAGCTCCATTACTCCTTCAAACCATTGCCAGAAAGTGAACGTTCGACCTGGGAGGACCTCCTGTAAGATTGAAAGGTGCTGTGAGATTTGAGTGCAGATGACAGTCTGTGTATGTTTGTGCAAAAGCACACACACATGTACCTTATTAAACTGGGCCCAGGAAACCATCATGTTGCTGAAGTCGTCTACAAAGTCGGGTTCATCGAAGATCTTCTGGGCCAAAAAATGCTGGTTGTACTGGTCCAGATTGTGCTGAGTCTGGACCTCGGAGGTGAATTTACTGTTGAGAGTGCTGCACATCATCCTCCAGGGTACACGCTCCGGCACCATGAACGGCACTCTGTCCTGATGACAGCAACAATAAAGAGGCTGATGTGCTGAGAACATCGATATGCATTTATAATGTAAATCTGCACCGTTATCAGAATAAAAGTGTTTTTATCCTGTTAGTGCTCTGCTCACTCTTGTGCTGTGGGCTGCTGCCACAGTTCTCATCTGCCTGTCCTGCTGCTGTTAAGATTGCATTTCATAAGACCCACCTCCACCTTAACATTCACCTGTGGGTTCTGCAGCCTGCATTCCCCTATGGGGGGAAGTTATCATTACTAATTTCACCCCTTGCTGTGCTGTGCTGAGCTCTGCATTTCCTTGTGGGGAGTGATGAACACTACCCCTATACATACTCATAGCTATCATGCAGTCAGTGCAATGGAGGGGCTCACTTGTGTTTTTATTTATTTTATTTTATTTTTTTTACAGCAGTGGTGCTCTGTGGCATCAGTATTTGGCCACACAGATGATACCTGTTAGTCGTAGCAATCCACTGTTAATTTTAGTATTCATGGGATGTGACTATCAGAAAAATGTGGAATATTGCCAGTCTCATCCTTTCTATCAGTGGTGTTTTGACTTTTTGCGATGGAATTTTGGGCAAAGATGTTGACTTGTTTTGTGACCTTGTACCTGGTTTTGTTGGTTTTTGGAGTGTTGATCCACGTCAGTGTTTGATTTTTATTTATTTTTAGAAACAGGTACACTAGAGGAGAATCAGTGGAATTTCAGATTATGAGCTTCTTCATAAAGAAGCTATCATGAGCTTCTTTGCAAATAAAATCACAACTATTAGAGAAAAAAAATTGGTTGGACCACTCCCACAGCTCTCGCAGATGTGCCATCTACTACAATGGCTTTAGAAACATCTGTAAGACCTCATTTATACTTGGACTACTTCTCCCCTATAGATCTCTCTGAGTTGACCTCAACAATTGCTTCATCTAAATCATCAACATGGCTCCTGGACCCCATCCCGACCAGGCTGCTCAAAGACGTCTTTCCCCTAACCAACACATCCATACTAGATCTGATTAACCT